TCATTGGTCGTCTATTGATGCAGGGCTTTACCTTCTAGTTGTACTATACCAGCCATCTATTTCGTATTTCGTATTTCGTATTTCGTATCCGGTATTTCATATTTCATATCTCTTATATATTGTTGTTATTTTTATTACGCATTTTTATGGTACTAATATATCATCTCCTATTGCTTTTTTGAGCCGAGGGTCTCCTGGAAACAACCTCTCTACCTTTCGGGGTAGAGGTAGGGTCTGCGTACATATTACCCTCCCCAGACTCCACTTGTGGGATTATACTGGGTCGTTGTTGTTGTTGTTGTACTTTTCCTCGCTTTGAATTCCTCCCAAAACGTTCTATAAATTTTTTATGACATTGTACATAGTATATTTACACCTACTAAAACTATACCGCAAACCTAAAAATATACTATCAAATAGAATTTTTCTAGAAGGTCAACCAAACCAATTACCGGATGAAATATTTCTAGGTTCACCGGAGCTTTAGTAGGTGTAGGTATAATATATACTCCCTCCGTTCCAATTTATGTGAATCTGTTTGACTGGGCACGGAGTTTAAGAAAAAAATAAAGATTTTTGGAATTTGTGGTCCTAAACAAGTCCAAATGGGGCGCAGCGTATTTGTATGGTTATAAATCCTTCTCATTAAGGGTAGAGTTGTAAGTTTAAGCTAAATTATTACCAAATTTAGAAAGGATTCATTCTTTTTGGAACGGACCAAAAAGGAAATAGGTTCACATAAACTGGAACAGAGGGAGTAACATTTTGGAGAAACCAACTTAGAAGAAAGCATAAAGATTATAGTTTGGCTCTATGTGTTGGGAATGTAAAATTGCTAAGTATGCTTAGAAGTAATAGTTACATTTTAAGAGAAAAATTAATTGGAGGGAAAAGAGTAGCTTTTGGAACCAAACTAAAATAAGGACACATTAAACTTTTTACATTATTTGTCTAAATTCTTGCCATGAAAGTTTAGCGGAATAGCACTTCTATTATTATTTTGATAATAGCACTTCCCTTTTTTTATGACTTAAAACAGGTTTAAGTAAATCAGATATCATCTGTACTATTTGTGCGATACATGGTTAACCAAGCATAATAAGCATTAACCGAATACATTCGATATAGCCTGTCCTGGTCTCTGGTAGAGATCCGAGAATTTTAGTAGTTTCCGCGACTAAATTACTTTGTAATATATAATTCGCCTTTTTTGTTCAAAATAGTTTGAATAGCCTATATTTTGTTGTTTTCATAATTTCGGCCTATTTAGGTTGAGAATCCCCTAATTGTCATGATCGTTAATGCCTATTCTATTGGTTGTCCTTGCCTTATTCTATATCTGATCCCCTTGGCAGAAAATCATAGATGTCACTGCTTCTCCGTGCAGATTGCAACCACAAATAAATCATGAAAAGTAGATACATATTTCATGACAACTAACTTATAGCCGATAACCGACCAATTATCAGCAGGTTTTTCACATCACTTATAAGTTATAAGTCAATGAACAACTAAACACGAATCAAAGCCAAAACCTATAGGGAGATGAAAAAGACAGAGAGATGAGATAAAACCTCGAGAAATTGCTCAGCGTAGGCCTGGGCAAGCTGAGTTTTAAGCTGGTCCATCAAGTCACTGTTTGACGATGATCCAATAGACGGTGCCGAAAAAGAATCCATATCTTCACTCTCGTTATCGCCTTAAGATTGTAAAACCCTAGATGTTACTGTTTATGGTGCTCTGAAACTTGAAACCAGAGCCGTCGCACTTACACCTCTAAGCTTTACTTTTCTTTCTCGAGAATTACGGCGGAGTGCTTCTTTTTTTAAAAGCAAAATACTACTCGTCTTTTATTTTCTTGGATATTGCATAATGACAATAATGAAGTACAATTTCAGTATTTGACTATTCATATAAAGATTCTTATAAGTTATGATTCTATGGTGTAACTATTATTTACATAATTAATGTAATTTAATCAACCATAAGAATGTTTACCTCATTTTTTATATTAGTTTAAGTTTTAGTTCGTTTTAGAAATTTGATCTCACAAGGCTAGGAAAAGGGGAAAGAAGAGATAGGTGGTCCGGGAACAACAATGAGAGAGGTCTCGCAGGCCATCCACCCCCGCCACACCCCCACGCCTTCTCCATGCATATATTGTTCAACCGAGATGCAGAAATCTTTTTTTAAAATTAATTAATTAATGATTCACCAAGCCATAGTAAATTTCGCAGTAATAGCAAGTTCAAGGAAATGAAACTAAGACACGAAGCTTTCCTTTTTCTTTTTACTTAGTCGTGGAGCATTTTAAGTATTTGCTTTAGGGATCGTTCTTGTGCATCTCCTTGCTTTATAGCAATTATTGCCCGATTTTAGAAGATATAGCTCTCGTCTCATCTTATTCTTTGAAATTGGAGGCTGTTCTAATTTCCTACTGAAATAGGCAAGCGAAGGAAGAACTAATCGTACCGTATTGTGTTCCATAGCCCTGGGGCTATTTACAAGTAGCTAATTAAGAAGTCTCAAATGTACTTCTAATACTGCATCTTTGATGCAGTCATCGATTGTCCCGAGAGGACATAATTACCGCAAGAAAAAATGTTAATGACGAGGAAGGCTTTTTGTTACTTTTTATTGATGTTGTTAGGAAATCTGCACATATATGATCACATATTTAGTGATGGGTTCACAGTAGCTTAGCTTTATGTTTTGATGATCTAACAAACTTACTGTCAAAGAACCACATAAGGAACCTGACACACTTGGTACTCAACTCAAATCAACGGACTCCAGCTAATGTGAGTTGATATGACTTCAGAAGATAGAGAATCAACACAGGGACGATACCCTTGAGTTTTCCTGACAGCAGTACAAAATCAACTGTTTACAGCTGAAAAGTGACTGCCTGCACTACACACAGAAACAGTGCAGCACAGTTCAGCAGTCACTTCTTATTGACCTACCAATCATTCAATTGATGTCATCCATGTTGTATTAATATTAAACATTACAACAAAATATCACTTGAACACCTGAGAATTCATTCAAGCATTCAAGTATCTGACAATCAAGCATTTAGTTCTCAAGTGTATCAAGAACAAAGTTTAACGCTACTATGGACTAGTTCTTAGGAACTCATTGTAAATCATAAACCTTCAGTGTTTGAGTCGTGACTAGAGTTAGTTATGAGTTTAAATCGTTGTAATAGATGTATTGCAAAGTGGCTTGTAGTAGGTGTATTATAAGTTAAAGAGGGATTAAGAGTTTAATTCCTAGATTGCATAGGTTGTAATATAAAGTTGCTCATAGTGAAGTTGAAATCCTACCAGTGTAGGTCGTGGTATTTTGTCTCCTTGAGCAGAGATTTTTTCACGTAAAAACTCCCTCTTTCATTTACTTACTGTTACATTAGCATTCTCTATGGAAACCTATATACAACTTGGTCTCTATATAGTTTGGTAGACTCATATATTCTATCAATTGGTATCAGAGCGGGTTATTTTTATCAGGTTAACACCTAGGAAGGATCCTCATGGTTGCTCCACCAAATTTTGAAGAAGGTCAGTCTACGTATAGACCACCTAGGTTCAATGGGCAATACTATGGGTGGTGAAAGACAAGAATGCGTGTTATCATGGCAGAAGATTCTGAGTTATGGAACGTTATATGTGATGGTCCTTATGTCCCAACAAAGAAGGTCGGAGACCTTCCAGTGACGACGTCAAAAACTAGGAAAGAATACAATGATGCATCTAGGAAAGCTGTGGAGAAAAACTTTTGTGCCAAGAAAATTTTGGTGTGTGGCATAGTACCTAATGAATACAACATGATCTTATCTTGTTAATCCGCCAAAGAAATATGTGAAGCTTTTCAAACATCACACGAGGGAACTACTCAAGTAAAGCAATCTAAGATTGATATGCTCACCACTGAGTATGAGCTCTTCAGGATGAAAGACGATAAATCTATTCAAGACATGCACACAAGATTTACTTCCATCATAAATGAGCTACATTCACTTGGTGAAATCATTCCTATGAGCAAGCTCGTGAGGAAAATTCTCAGTGTTTCGCCCAGTTCATGGGAGAGCAAAGTGAATGCCATTACTGAAGCAAAGGATCTGCAGGCCCTGACTATAGATGAGCTAGTTGGAAATCTTAAAACCTACGAAATGAAAAGAAGAAGGGCAGTGAAAGAAGAGAACCAAAGAAAGAAAAGAACCTGGTACTCAAAGTTGAAAGCAATGACTCAAGTGAGGAAGACTGTGACATGGCTTACCAAACCAAAAGGTTTCAGAAAATGGTCAGAATGAATGGAGTGATACCAAAGAGAGGCAGTTCCAATAGACCAAAGAATTATGACCTTTGTCATAAATGTGGAAAGCCTGGGCATTTTATCAAAGATTGCCCTCTCCTGAAGCAAGAACACTTCAAGTACAACCCTGTTAAAGTAGCCAAGAGGAACTCGGTTCCTAACAAACAATTCAAAAGAAAGAATATTATTGACAATGTTGTGAAGCAAGCTCTTGCAGCATGGGGAGATTCCTCTAGTGAGTCTGAAGAAGAAACTGATGCAGGTGATAGTTCTATGGTGGCAGTTAAAAGTGAAGCAAATGAATATGATTCAATATTTTCTTTGATGGCTCAATCAGACAATGATGAAGATGATGACAATGATGAGGTAAACTTCAGGGATGTTCAGAGAAATTTGAAATCCTACTCTCCTAAGAAACTCATGTCAATAGCAAATGTATTAATTGATGCCTATCATAGTCTTGTAGATAATAAGGATGCTTTGACCATAGAATTAGGAGATGTTGAGCAAACTAGAGATGACTTGGTAGTCTGTGTGGTTAATTTGAAGGAAACTATAGATAATCTGGAAAGTGAAAAAAAAGGCTCTAACTGAGAAAATCACTAGTGTAGAACACGAAAGAGATGATCTGATGGTAGTAATAGTTGTCTTAAAAGAAACCATTGAGAATTTCAGTAAAGAAAAAGATGCCTTAGTGGAAAAAGTGACTGTTATTGAGCAGGAGAGAGATGACTTCTTAGTAGTGATTGTAGACTTAAAGGAAACAATAGAGGGACTCAGAGCTGAGTGTAGGCCTGGAAATTCTGAAAAAGGAAAAAAAGTAGCTAGTGAGGCACACATTAAACTTGAAAACGAGTTAAATGCTGTAAGAACTAGTTTGTGTGCTGAACTTGAGAAAAATAGATAGCTCTAAGCAGAACTGGAAAGAGTAAAAAATGATCTTGAGAAGTCCCTTAAGTGGACCTGGTCCTCGAATGCTATTACTGTCATGTATGTTAATAATGGTGGAAACAGGTAGGGAATAGGGTTTCAAAGAGAGACAACACCTTATAACCCTCATAGCAAGTACGTAACTGTATCTGATTACTCACTGTGTACCTACTGTGGGAACAATGGACATTTCAAAGAAAATTGCCAAGCCAGGGTTCAGTCTCTTCAGAAGAACAAAGTTTTTGCTGAAAGAGTAACTGCTAAAAGAGGACCAGGTGCCACCCATAAAAAGCGCATGTTACCTGCATGGACTAGAAGAACACGTATTCATCCTCTTGCTTATTACAAAGGACCCAAACTTGCGTGGGTTCTTAAATCTAACCCGTGATCTCCTTGTATAGGGAACAGTGAAAGAAAGCAATCAACAATGGTTCATGGACAATGGATGCTCAAAACACATGACTGAAAATACCATGGACTTTCTTTCACTAAAAGCCCTACAATGAGGGAGTGTATCCTTTGGAAATGGGGAAAAGGGATACATTCTTGGTGTTGGAAAAATTGGAAAGTCGCTCACTCACTCAAGTGAGAATGTGTACTACGTCAATGGCCTTAAGTACAGTCTCTTGATTATGTGATAAAGGAAACAAGGTGGAATTTTTGTCCAAGATATGCACAGTTACAAATCTAGTAACTGGTGAAGTGGTACTTGTGGCCAAAAGATACAAGAATATCTACGTTGTTGATTTTAAGTCCTTACAAAGTGGTGATCTGAGTTGCCTAAAAGCAGTTGATGATGATGCTGAAATATGGCACAGAAGACTGGGGCATGCAAGCTTCTCTCTACTGAATAAACTGGTTCAGAAGGACCTGGTCCGTGGTCTACCCATGTCAAAGTTCAAAGAACATAAAGTTTGTGATGCCTAAGATAGAGAGAAGTATGTGAAATCCTCATTTAAGCCAAAGAAGGATGTCAGCACCTCAAAACCACTTGATCTCCTTCATATGGATCTATGTGGCCCGATGAGAGTGCAAAGCATGGGAGGAAAGAGATATATCTTTATGATAGTGGATGACTATTCCAGATTCACTTGGACTCTGTTTCTTAGAACAAAATATGAAACCTTTGAAGTTTTCGTAGCCTTTGTAAAGAAAATCCAAGTGAAGATGGAATCAAGAGAAGCAAGCATTAGATCAGATCATGGAACAGAATTTGACAATGCTAAGTTTGATGACGAGAATGGCATTACTCACAACTTCTCAGCCCCAAGAACTCCCCAGCAAAATGGAGTTATGGAAAGGAATAATAGAACCCTTGAGGAAATGGCAAGAACAATGTTGATCGACAGTGGGATTGCTAAGGACTTCTGGGCTGAAGCTATCAACAGTGCCTACTACTTAGTGAACAGGTGCATGATTAGATCTCTCTTGAATAAAACTCCCTATGAGTTGTTGAATGGAAGGAAGCCAAAGTTGACTCACTTAAAAACATTTGGGTGTAAATATTATGTTCTCAACAATAGAAAGGATCAGCTTGGAAAATTTGATGCCAAGAGTGATGAAGGAATATTTTTAGGGTACTCTTCTCAAAGTAAAGCCTAC